ATATGCCATCAAAGCTTGGGGAAATTTCTCCAATTATAGATGCCTCATGTGAGCTTGATTCCAATGTTATTGTTGCTTGTTTATCAGCAGCATGCAAGATTTGAAATTACACAAATTGGCTGCTGGCTGTTCATCAAAACATGGATTGTCATATCAACAATGCACTGTGTAAGTTATTATTGCCCTATTTCAGTCCAGATGCATCCTGCTCATTAATTATATAACACATAATACTACAATTTAAGTGATTAAATCCTCTGGAATATTACCTTTTTTCTGCATTTTGATTGATGTAATTTGGAGTAGATATGACAGAGTTACAGTATTGTCTCTCTGAATTGTTGGTATAACCTGGGTGATGACATGCCAATTATGTAAAACATACTCCTAAATTTTACATAATCGAAATGCATGAAATTCTTTCCTTTGGAATCTGCAGTGATGACATCACGAGGATCTCTTGTGCCTTGCAATGACGCACGAACATTTCCCATCAATGCGATCGGGAAACGTTCGTGCGTCATCATTTTCCTTGGTGTGTCATCGTTTAGTCATCATTTTTAGCGAAAATGAAGATTTACCTGTAGTTCTGCCAATTCTGGTCCAAATGACATGTTTTTTTTGTGGTATGCACTCCTTAATTGCAGAACTATTCTCAAATGACAATGGATGTAGACAAATACAAATAAACAGTCCACAATTCAAAAAATTCAACATTTTCAATGTATTTTTGACACTCATGATCATGTTTGTATGACCATGGTTTGAAAATATTACAAATATATTTATAGATTCTACCAAATACTTCCAAATATGTATATACCCTTCATCACATGTTGTTGCTTACTCATCTCTTTGGGGCTAAAGTAAAGAATTCTCTGTAGCTCTGCGAACTCTGGTCCAAATGACATGGTTTTTTTTGAGCAGTATGCACCCCTTAATTGCAGAACTGTTTTAAAATGATAATGGATGTATACAAATACAAATAAATAGATCATAATCCAAAACATTCAACATTTTCAATGTCTACTTTATGCTCATAATCATAGTTTACAGATTCTATGAAATACTTCTAAATATATACATACCCTTCATCACATGTCATCACTTAGTCATCTCTTTGAGCTGAAATAAAGATTTCTCCACAGCTCTGCCAACTCTGGTCCAAACGACATGGTTTTTCTTGCAGTATGGAGTCCTTATTTGTAGAATTATTCTAAAGTGACAATAAATGAAGACAAATACAAATAAATAATTTGAAAAACAAAATGTTCCACACTGTTGATTAGGCTCATGACCAACCGTTTCTTTCAAACTCTGCAGGCTACATTCAGAAATGGCTGGGCTGAACAGATTGAGTCTTGTCGAGGTCACATTTTGTGACACAGGACTTAGTGAAATTGCATCAAATTGGTACGTCTGTTCTGTATTGACCGTCATCTGCCTTCGACCTCATCACTCCTGTCCCTCATCATCCGTCCAGCCTGCATCCCCTTCACCCTCGTCACTATCCAACTCATCTGTGTCAACAAATTCTTCATCTTCAACCACAATCTTGTCTACTTATATCTCCTCTGCCACCCTGCTCTCAACGTCCTCAAGAACTTTGTCAATTTCGCTTGTTTCGTCTGTGGCTGGCCCTTCCTCAAATTCTTCCTCATCACCTTCAGCTGCTGGAATCGAAGGAATTGGAGGTGGCAGTGGAGGCTGTGTTGGGAGTGCTGTGGCCTGTTCAGGGTGTCGTTTGAGAGCAGCAAGTGATACTGGTTTCATCTTCCGTCATGTTTGAAGCCTTTTGAAGGCTGTGTTATACTTGTTTCCATTATTCTACCCTTATCTGTATCCTCCACCGACACCACCACCAGCACCACCAAGTACCTAATTATTTGTGTCAAAGGGCTTCTGTTTTTTTGTTTGTTTTCCAAATCTATGACATTCACGTTACTTTTACAAGTACACTCCGATAAATTATGTGCCTTGAGCACTTTAAAAAAAAAGAGTGTTGTCATCTTATTTCGATGTTCTGGCGCAGAACGCAAAATTTCACTAAGTGTCATGTCACACATTGGGACCTCGACAAATCTGGCTCTGTTCCGCCCAGTCCTTTGGTGGTGATCTTGCCTTTCACTCTCTGCCTAATGTTTGAAGCCACAACAAAGTCACAACATGGGACAAACAAATCATGATCACCACCGAACGAACTGGTAGCAAGCCTAACTGTTGATATTTAATTGATGTTCATAGTTTAAAAAGTCACTTCAGTCACCCACTGACTACTGACTATTAGTCATGTAATTTCAGTATATATTACATGACTAATAGTAGTACTGTATTTATTTACTGTACTGAATAAATCTACTGTATCTATTTTGTATTTCTAAGTTGAAGTGTCACACAATTACCTGTCACAATACTGAATCTATTTTTTTGCACTAAATAAATCTCTCAAGTGCCAAGACTCTGAATTAAATATATTCTATGTTTTCACCACTGGATATAATTTTTTAGGCTGAATAAATCTTTTTGGAGCCAAGAGCATAAAATGTCACAAACTTCTATGTCACACTACTAAATGAATTCTTTTTTGCTTTATACAGTTTTCATCTTTGAATAGATTTTATCTGAGAGCTGGCAGGTGTCCTACCCTCCCAAAAAGAAGTTGCATTATATTCAGCAGAACAGAATAACTTCTTGCCATTGATACATCCTATCCCATACAACAAAGTTACTTCTGGTTCAGTATTAAAGCTAGCTCTTAGATATTTGGCATAGAGCACTTCAGTCACCCACTGCCAACTGACTATTAGTCATGCAAACTACGCATAAGTTACATGACTAAATGTCATGGACCATATCTACATTCTAGATATATATGGGTCCTAGAAAGCCCTGAAATCTAAAATATATTCTTGAGATGTGGACCCTGAAATGTCACACAAAAATTATAATGTCTGTGTCACACCACCAAAATATATTTTGCAAGTAAAAAGCAGTAAGGATATATTTTTGGTGAGTGGACCCTGAAATGTCACTGTCACACCTTAGAAATATATTTTTGCCCTGGCTTGGCCTTAGGATATATTTTGGGAGACAGATGTGGTAAGGATATATTTTTTGGGTCTGTAGGGGTGTCAGGGGTCCTAGTTTCACCAAAAAAACTTGTGATTTTTTTGCTGTCTAGGATATATATTCTGGAAGATTCTGCAATGATTTCCAGGGGTTTTGGCAGTATGTCTGGTCTGTCCTCCCAGTATGTAGGTAGCAATAAGGGGCATCAATAGCATCTACAACCTACCTGAGTAGTTGCTTGCATATTATCCACTTTGACACTATAGATACAGTTTGTACTATGAAATTCTTTAGCTGCCTTGAAACACCCTCTGAGTTGATAAAGTGCTTTGATCTTTCTCTTCTTCTCTCTCCAGTTGCACCATATCTGCATACCCACCCACATCTGTATTACCATCAAGTTGACAAAGTGCTTTGATCTTTCTCTTCTTCTCTCTCCAATTGCACCATATCTGCATACTCCACCCACATCTGTATTACCATCAAGTTGACAAACTGCTTTGATCTTTCTCTTCTTCTCTGTTCAGTTGCACAGTTCACCAACATCTGTATTACCAGCAAGTTGACAAAGTTCTTTGATCTTTCTCTTCTTCTCTCTCCAGTTGCACCTTATCTGAACACCCCACCCACATCTGTATTACCACCCTTCACAGACAAGAGTTCACCACATTCTTTGTTGTTTCTCTCCTCTCTTCTTTTCTTCTCCTCCTCTTCTTCTCTCCCTACCTTCCTCCCTCTTTCTCTTGAGTTTTGATTGTAAATTTATGGACAAACAGTTCACCAAGCTCTTTGTTGTTTCTCTCCTTCTCTTCCTTTCTTCCTCTCCTCTTCTTCTCTCCTGGCTTCCTCCCTCTTTCTCTTGAGTTTTGATTGTAAATTTATGGACAAAGAGCTCTGACAAAGTTCTTTGATCTTTCTCTTCTTCTCTCTTCAGTTGCACCTTATCTGCATACCTCACCCACATCTGTATTACCATCCTTCACAGACAACAGTTCACCAAGTTCTTTGTTGTTTCTCTCCTTCTCTTCCTTTCTTCCTCCCCTCCTCTTCTTCTCTCCCTGTCTTCCTCTCTCTTCTCTTGAGTTTTGATTGGAAATTTAGGGACAATGAATTCTATTCACCCTGTCATAGTATGGAGTCACACATATCTTTGCACTAAATCCTGAACCAAGATCTATATTTCAACCATATCATGAATCCAGATACATAATTTCTGAACCATATCATGAATATTTTAATTAGATGCTGAATCAAGATATATCTTTCCACTTTATCTTGAACAAGGATATATTCACAAGACATATATTTCAATTACATCCTGTCCCAGGATATATATTTCACCTATATCTTCAACCAGGATATATTTCCAACAAGATATTGAACCAGGATATATCACCAATATATATTCTCAAGCTATATCTTGAACAAGGATATATTTTTCAACTTTATCCTCAACAAAGATATATATTCAACAAGATATTGAACCAGAATATATTGCCAAGATATATTCTTAAGCTATATCTTGAACCAGGATATATCTTACAACTTTATCTTGAACCAGGATAATTACCAAGATACATTCTTGAGCTATATCTTGAACAAGGATATATTTTTCAACTTTAACTTGAACAGGGATATATCTTTCAAATTTATCTTGAACCAGTATATATCACCAAGATATATTTTTAAGCTATATCTTGGACAAGGATATATCTTTCCACTTCATCTTGAATCAAGATATATTATTGAACTATATCTTGAAGGAGGATATATTACCAAGATATATTTTTGAACTATAAAATGAATCCAGATATATTTCAAACCAGGATCTATTTCTTTCCAATATATCCTAAGTCAAGATATATCTTCAAAATCTGTATTTGTGATGTAAGCGTAATCAAAAGGGAGTGATTGAGTGGGTTGATAGAAAATCAAGCAAGTGCCTTGATCGAAACTGAGTGAAGGATATTAATATGTAAGTAAAGAGTGAAGTCGAAACTGAGTGAAGGATATTAATGCGTAAGTAAAGAGTGGAAGGATAGCCATGGGTAAAGACAGTGAAGGAACAGCCAACAAAAGACATGTGTATTACTGCAATCCCCAAAGTTAGATCAAGTAAAGCATGGCATAAAGGACTTACAAAGGACTATAGGAAAGGGATGCAGTCTAAACAAACAAGTCAGATTGGTGAAACAGACCATGAAAAGAACTTACAAAAAGGGTGGAGTGAGGTGTGTAGGTGGACAAAGGCAAAAGGAGGGGACACAGCCTAAAACCATCAAGTCAGATTGATGAAAGAACATCATAAAGGACTTATGCAATGATGTATGGGCAAAGGCAAAATCAGGAACACAGCTACAAATGAACAAGTCAGATGTGTGAATGGACATAAGTAAGGACTTAGGAAATACCAAACGAGCAGCACAACAACCAAGTTAGATGGAAGAAAAATAAGTCCAAAAGGACTTAACATGAAAGCAATGACCTAGTTAGCAACTGAATCTTGAGAGTTCTTCCCTGGCCCAGCACGTTTGCCTGAAACACGAGCATGGCCAGAAGTACTAGCAAAAGGCTGAGATACTGATCGAGATGATGAGGCAACGTGACCTGAAGAACTAGCGAAGGGTTGAGAGACTGAACGAGACGATGAAGCCGGTGTTTTCTGGTTCTTGAGTGGGTCAAAGAAGGAGATTGGATGTTCAGCTCGTCGAAGTTTGGTATAAAACATGTTATCGGGAAGGGAGGTGAAGGAGACGTGACGTTGGCGTTTAGCGGGAGGTTCCACTTCTGGTTGTTTCGGCAGAGGGCGGTACTCTCTTGTGGACTTGTGCTTGAGTTCTTCTTCAGGCGAGGCCATGGCGGTGTCATGTGATCGCTTCTTCGTGGACAACGCCGGAGACGAAGGGAAAGAACTGACAGGGGAAGATGTATCACCTTTCTGATCGCGCTTCTTCGTTGGGGCCGAAATAGAGCAATTGTGACGGACCCATTTAGTCGAGTCTTTGACAAAGACCATTGGAAGACCTTCGGAGTTAATAATGACAGGGATCTCGCCGAAGCAAGCTTCACTCTCTGGGATTAGTCTTTGCTCTAAAAAAACAACTCAGACAGATGTAAGTCAACAGAATGTTATCTAACTTTTTTTTTTTTTTTTTTTTTTTTTTAATGTCAAATTTATAGTCCATCGGGGCGAAGCCCCATGTCAGACTTTACAACTTCGTAGACTACCTAAGGCCCCTAGTGCCTATGATTCCTGACCCCCTGAGGATCACCTCTTGCACTGGAGAGGGCACGCCCATGGCGATCATTCCCCTTCCTAGTCCGGCACGGAAACGCCGTTTAGAGGTGCATCCTATAGGCGAGCGGGGTAGTCCTGTCTTCTGCTTAACTTTGCAGTCCGGCTGGTTGGTGTTTCGTCTTCTAAGTACCCGATCGCATAGCAATAGGTACAGCCGGTAATGGGACGAGCGTTTTCAGGAAAATATGATGTTCGTTACTGTCTTCTGTCGTTTGATTATATGTGCTTGTGGCTTGCGATGCGATTCTGGTGCTTAAGTCCGCAGGCTGAGTTGCGGGTAAGAGAGTGGGGGGGTATGGTGGGCGAACCCGCTGGCCGCAGCGCCAGTTTGTCTTCCAAGTGTCTTGCGTCGTTTACATGTTTCCTAGAAGAAGTGGTGCTACCTGTCAAATTTCCTCGGATTCCAAGTGAGACACGTCACCTATGGATTCCCCGAGGGTCTTCTTGAATCTGGCTGTCCTTCCCACAAACTTAAGTAACTCCTTTATGTCGTCTAAGCTCGCCAGGATCACTTGGAAATCTCTTGAGTGGCGGCCCAACGCCCGATCCATGTCGTACCGTTCTGCCGCGTATTCTTGGCACTCGAATAGATAGTGTACCACTGTCTCCGCTACTTCCTGTCTCCTTCTCCTCCAACATGCGTCGCAGCGGCTGGTGGTTGACTTTGTTATGCGATATAGGTAACCATTGAGTGGTATGTGTCCGGTTCTCAGCTGCATCAGTAAGCTTGCCTGCGATCTTGAGAGCAGGTTACTGAGTCTTCGGAATTTGCTGAAGGGGAAGCTGGGATCCACATGTTGAAACCTTGCGTAGCGCGGTGATTCCTTCCATGCCTCCTTCCACTTCACCTTTAGTGTTTCTGCATGTTCTTGCTTCACTGCCGCCGCGCTGTACGGGAGCCGCCTGCGAAGGATCGGGGGTAGGTCCTCCAGAGGGCTGTTATCTAACTTACCGTCAGACCAGGGCTTCACCACCAAGAGCTTCTTTACAATCAGAGTCGATAGGTGCTTCCATTGAGAGCTTGTGATCTTGGTAGGTGCAAATCCCGGGCAGAAGGCTATGTCGACCATAGCAGAATCCCAACCTGTGATAACCAGTTTGAATTGGTAGGCGAGATTGGGCCACGTGGTCCAAGGGGCCGACGTGCGTCGATCCTTTTCAGCCAAGCACCCATCTGAATATCATATCAATAACTGTTAATCACTGAACAAAGCAAAATATTACTCAAAAGATCAAGAAACAATCGCGTGAATTGTTTCTGACGTTCCTTCGTGTAAGGTAGCACATCCTTATCCGAAGAAGCCTCCTTCTTCAAAGCAGATGCAAGGCTGGTCCGGGCGCGAGCCATTGAGGAGCTAGCTGTAGTCGAGGGAGTCACATTTAGTTCCTCCATCGACTGCTTAATTTGCTGGTCCGCATGCATAGCACTGTAGCAGCACAAGTGAGACAAAAACCCATAACATGAAAGGGGGACAACGCACCGGACTTTGCTAACAAAGATGTCCGTCAAGGTGGCCATTGGCCACTCCTCACGGGTGCAGAGCGCGTGAAGGTCCTCGGAACTCATGAAAAAAGCCGTCTTGTTTCACGCCGTTAGATTTCTGCCGCTGTAGACCAAGATACCAGCAATGTCGAAAGATTTGTCGCGACGTTTGATATTGGTGATCTGTAAAAGAAGTGGTGTATGTAAGAAGAATGTGATGAACAAACCAATCAGACGTACAAGATCGCGAATTTCCTTCATGTGAGACGCGAAGCGAAGGTTCGCGTCACAGACATTGGTCCCTTCTTCGTTGACTTGATTCTTGATGAAACTAACGGCCTCCTGCATCCGTTCATCTTTCTCTTCTTTTGTTGTCGCTCCTTCCATAAGCTTCTTGTACTCCTCATTCGTGGCCCTGTTCCAGAGCTGGAGGCCTTCTACAATCATATTATATGAGGAAGCGGGTTCAAGAAGGTAAAACGAAGACTAACCATGATCTCCCTCCTCTGGTTTCGTCCTGCTAGCAAAAGTTTTAAACAGGTTGTAGCGGTTTGGAGCTCGCTTCTCTTTGCGCAGAAGACCTGCTTTCTCCATGGCGAAGTCCGAAGAACGGCCATAGAGATGGCCCAACCTATGTGCGACTTGCCAGACGACCTGGCCGAACATCGGATACAATGCCGTTTCCAGGAGTGAAGGCTTTGTCGAAGAAACCTCTTCAAGGTCTGGGAGCAGGGCGTCGGGGATCAATGTGAGTCCGTAGCTGCTCAAGATGGATGCGGCGTCCAACTGGGAAGGTGTGTATGACGCCGTTAAGTCCTTCCAGTGGGCGGATGAGGTGTGTACTTTCCCTTCTGTTTTCATTGTCGATAACAAAAGGCGAGCGGCTTTGGATCGCGCTTCTTCCTGCTCGTCACGCTCCAAGTCGCGTTCGTCTTCCTCCTCGGTGTCCGTAACCAAAGGTTTCTTGCCTTTGGAACGCTGTTCTTCCTCCTCACGCGCTTCTTCCTCCTCGCACTCCAAGTCTGGTTCTTCTTTGGCATCTTCCTCGTCAATCTTCGTGTCATCCTCTTCAGTGTCCGTAACCGACTGTCCCCTCGATTTATGCCAGTCCCTCGTCTTTTCTTCCTCACGCCGTCCCTCTTCATAATCGGACCCAGTGACGTCACTCTCGATCATGGGATCTGGGGCTTCCCAGTCCTCTAATGCTGTGACTTTCTCCTTCTTCCCTTCTTCCTTACGTGGACGAAGTTGGCGACGTGCAAGAATAATTGCAGAGCGACGATGCTGCTCAGCTCGAGCCAGTTCATGGTTGACAGCGTCAACATAGTCCTGGGGGTCGTGTGGGGCCATGTAACCCGCAGGGAGCATGCAGTACATCTGTGTTTCGTTGTCCCACATTTCCGTACGCCTATCTGCAGCATTTTGGGCACCTTCTTGAGGTAAGGAGCCTTGGTAGCGGCTGTGGCCCTCCTCCCAGGGCTTTCGGAACTTGTAGGCTGCCTCTTCCCCTTTGAGGCCTGCCACCAACGCTGCCTCTTCCCCCTCTGAAATATCATAAACGTGGAGAGGGTGGATCTCCGGATCGCCGGGCTCACGAGAGGCATTGAGTTCCTTGAAGGCTTTGCGAGTCTCTGGGTGGACATATGCGATGCAACGACGATCCTGAATGCGTATGTCGTTCTCTGCCTCAATGAGATCTTCTGGCGTGTGAGGGGCCGTGTAATTCGCTGGGATTGGGACCCAAAATCCTGTTTCTTTGTCCAACATGGTTGTCCGATCGTCCGCTGCAGAGCGGCCCCCTCTCTTGGGGCGACGTCCGTGGTAGCTGCGATAACCCCCTTCTGTAAAGGCAAATCGGTAACGAGTATTGCCTTTGAGTGCACCATTCAAGGCTAGTGTTTAAAGGTTCAGTTCAGTCCGGTTTTTTGCCCCAAAAATGCGCAACCGTGGACCGCAACCAGTCCAGGACCGACCCAGATATTGAGGGAACCGAACCGAACCACCTAGGACCGGTCTTTTGCGGTCCATGATACCGGTTCAGACCGATCCAGACCGGTTTTTTTGCATATAATTTATTATATCAATATAAACCATTTGTATCTCAACCATTATTACTCTGAAAAATAAACGGGTTATATAAAATAGTAAAGCATATAAATACCCGTCATTCTACCAATTTTCAAGAGATTTAATGAAGATTTGACATAGCTATGACTGAAACTGAATTACATCTCCTAGAGACTCGGGTAAAATATGGATTTGGTTATATCTTTCTCAATTCTTAACCGTTTTTGATGAAACAAAAACCCAATAAAAGGCAATAAACGTGGTTACAAGGCTATGTAACGCACGTGACCGTTTAACCGGTTGCAACCGATTAAAACCGGTCTTTGAACGGTTTTCAAAGATTTTCGAAATGAGGCAACCGGCAACCGGACCACCCCCAAATTGGGGCAACTGCAACCAAAAAAAAGACCGGACCATGGTCCGGTTCAGTTCGGTCCACCGGTTTTTTGCGGTCCTATGGACTGAACCTTTAAACACTATTCAAGGCAGCAATCTTGATGTTGTCAAAGTGGCCGAGGGATATCAATTCGATGCATGGTGGCAGATGTGGGCGACCAGGGTCGTCTTCGTCTTCGTCATTCATGCCTTCCGCAGTGGCTGAGGAGAGGGAGTTGGATGGTGGAACTGGAGCATCAGGCTCTGTGGCAGATATCCTAAAATTATTATGAGATTGTTCTAATGTAATCTACAGCGGAAACAACTCACATAGTGACAACGTCATCCGTGTTGTCAGGCAAAGCAGGGACGGAATCCTGGACACTGTTTAAATGAAGTTAGTTTATGTTTCCGAGGCTGCTGCTGCCCAACCGACTAAAGTCTGGTTGAGCAGGGTTGTCGACATAAAGTCTGACAATCAGGAATCGACTAAAGTCTGATTCCACGACGGATAAAACAATAAGGTGAGCAACTAACCTTCTTTTGCCAGCTGCTGCCCTCAGCCGTGCTTCTGCCTGTCCGAGGTTCATCGCTTGCACATCATCACGGGATTTGTTGGTCGATATCGAGACACATTCGAGGACTTGACGCGTGTCAGCGTCGCTGTTGGTGGCCTGCTTATAAATTATTAGTGAGATAGTGACTATATAGACGCTGCACGACGTACCTTTTTGGAGAGATTTGGCTCCGGCTTTTTGTTTTTCTTTGACCTTTTGTTGGCCTTTGAAGCCTAAGTGACATGTGCCACGTCGGTACACAGTTGGGGAGGGAGGGTGATTGACTTACAGGGGGTTTTGTGGAATGAGATCCGCCACCTGCCAAACCTCGGTCTTTTTGTTTGGGAGCGCGGGGAGGCATACTGTAGAGTGAATTAGGAAGCCCTTGGTGGCTTGTTCAAATAAGTCGCGGTGGAAGGAAGTTCCTCCCAGTGGGTGTGAGCTGGTTAAATATTTGTGTGCGTGTGATCACGTGCAACGCGACAGCCCTGACGACCTTCGAAATTTGGACAGTGTGGAGGGCCATGCATGCATATTAGGGTTAGTAGCCCAGACTGAATGGTGGGTTGAGCGCGTAATACAGCCGGTCGACCGAAAGACTTACATTGTGAGTGCCGCACATGGGGTAAGGCGAGAGTGCAGCCTATACACGTTGGAAAGCATAGATCCGAGTTCTGCGTATATAATTTCAACTATTATCTATTCTATTTTCGAGCGGGAGGTCAGGGTGATTGGTCGAGGCTAAAGGGATTTCTTCAAGTGAGCAAGTAACACGACTGAAAAAAACGAGCACATACCTCCCGAGAAAGAGGTCACTTGTGTGTTCCCTTCAATTTGGAAAGGCATTTCAGCCTCTAGTGTGTTCCCTTCTATTTGGGAAGGCGTTTGGGCCTCTACGTAAATGGTTGTAAGTAGCATATTCTCATATATAATCTATTCTATATTGTATTCTATTTTTGAGCAACAAGATAAGGCCTTTCGCCACTGAGAGACTGGTGGGTGCAACTAAGGTCAGTCATTCACAATGTAGTTTCAGATAAATGACATACATCCGGGTAGACGGTGTTTGATCTAGAATTTCCTGCTTACCGATGTCGGTAATCGATGCGATTGTAATGCGAGTGCGAAGATACTGTGCTGAATTAGCGGGAGGTCCGCATGACCGGTCAACGCTAAAGGGGTTTCTTGTAAGCAAGGAATGCCACTGAAAAACTCAAGCACATACCTTCCGAACATATGCGAAACGCGTTGCCTTGGGTGAAGGTGTTTCGAGGCTGAGAGGCTGATGGGTGCAACCAAGGTCATTAAGTCATAACATAGTTTCAGGGAAACGACGTACCTCCAAGTGGATGGTGATTGCTGTAATCGATGTGATTGCACATAGAGGGCGGTCGACGGTTGCGATAAAAGTCTTATCGGCCAACTACAGTCTGGCTGGAAGACGTATGAAGCATCTGACTGAAAGTCAAGTCAATCAAGCCAGCA